TGTTGGCTCCAGCAGTTGTTAAGCAAAGATGTGCAACAGATAGTGCTCAGAGCATGCGTTGACGATGACCGTCAGCTACTACCACACGAAGTTTGAGCCCAGTATCTGGGAAATGCACTGAATTATCCATTTTGTGTCCACTCGTGATTAGCTGCGGTGGCCATCTTGAATAGGGGTGGTTTCAAACTGTAATCAGATGCACGTGGTCATTAATTCATGAGAAGTTATTTCAAATCAGTCCAGTGCTTTGTGATATTTTGCTAACAGGCAAACAGCGTTGACAACAATGGTAAAAAAATATATACTTCAGTAAATATCTTGTGTAATGTTGGGGAGGACTCTGTTGTTTGTTGCCATCTCAACAACAAATTTGAGCTGTGCGATTTGAGTTAAAGCCATTTTTTGTGTGTGTTTCCTAGATCAGCTGGCTGTGGCAGCCATCTTGGATTGGATTGACTGTTAAAGGTTTGGAGCTGCTCGTCCGATAATCGTGTTCTGGGAGATTCAGTCACATCCGTCCAGTGATTCATGAGATATTTTGCTAACAGACAGACACGCATGGGCAGCTCTTTCCACGTCTTCATCAGCGGGTGATGATGAAGCATGGTGTCTTCCTCTTCTCGTGCAGCAGCAACCCACGCCCTCCGGTCACCGATTGGATTAATGAAAAGGAGACCCCCCCCCCCCCCCCCACACACACACACACACACACACACACACACACTTCTTACAGAGGCTTTTCTTAATTAGCCTGTGTCTGCAGAGGGCAACATGCTCACTCTAATCAAAACTTTAAAGAACAAACAACACCCCCCCGCTGACTGACTCCCTCATGACATTAAAGCCCACGATGCGCGCGCGCCTGCATCCTAATGACCAACTCGGAGACTGGAGAGCAGATCGATGCGCCGCTGCGCTCCGAGCTGTCCACATGTCACCTGGATGTGATGTCCTCGTGTCGGAGGCTGCAGATGGGAGCTGTGTGTGCGCGCGCGCGCGTGTGTGTGTGTGCGCGCTCACTCGGTGAGTTAGAGCAGCATCCTCACGGCCAGCTCTCCTGATGGGTTCCCCTGGGACAGCGCGCCCGGATCCTCGCGCTCATCCTCCGGAGCGCTCCGGCCTCTCCCTCACAGCCTGCCGACACG